GCCATGCCTGGAGGTGTTTAAGAGACAGGCACATGTGCTGAGGGACATGATTTAGTCGTGTTGATAGGGCTAGGACAAAGGTTGGTTTCAGTCTTGAAGGTCTCTTCCAGCCGAAATGTTCTACAGTACTATGATTCTAGGGGTTTCTTCTGAAGTGCTCCCAGAAAACATGTAAAGAATTCTGGAGAACTTGAACAGACACTGTTGTAATAACTCAAAGGATAATTAAGAACAGACAGTCAATATGCCAGCTGATCTGAAGCATCAGGAGATTTCACATTCTTTGAAACGTAAACACCTGATCTAAAGCAAACTGGCTGCAGACTCAACTCACCACAAACCAATGAAGATATTCCATCCTGGTCAGTACTACTCTCATTTCCACAAAACTGCAACAGAGGGATTAACTACTCATTTTATATGCCAAAGTAGACAAAGATAGTAAAAAGAAAAAATTATGAATGAATATCGCTCCATTCCCTATTAAACTGAGTCATAATAGTGTTTCCAATTTGTTTCTGAAAGGGAATACAGTACTTGGATAAATTAAGTATTTAATGCACAAATCAACCTCTTGGCACTGAACAGGTGAGGCTTAGAAGCTAACGTGTCTCAAAAAAGCCAAAGCCATGCACTTCAAAATGGGAACCTGAGAAGTTTCCATCTCCTCACCTCTCCTGAAGTAGGTTGCACAGCCTTCAGCAAGTCAGAGACAGCACTGGCCAATGTTCGAGCAGCTTTCAGAAGGTCTTCTCCACTTCCTACTTCATCATCCATGAGAGCAGCAAGCAGTTTCACACCTTTGGACATCTCGGTGAGGTTGGAAGAGATGGTTGTAATTGCACATCCCACAGCAGTGTAATCAGTGTCAACTGGGTCACCTGTAGAGCAAATGTTTTTTCATGATCAGAATGTTTTAGTGGCCAAAAGGAAAGAGGCAGCTACCACAAGCTGCATACACTCTGCTGAGACAAGAGAGACATTTCAAGACAGCCTAGCAACTCCTACTAACTAATTTCATTGTCACTTAAAAAAATAATAATTTAAAGACTGCTACAATTTCTCCAATTCCCCCATTGCTTTTTCTACAAGAATCTATCTTCTAAATACAATTTCTCATCATTCAGTACAATTTGCTGATAGGTCTATGGTTTCAGCTATCTTTCAACATTGAAAGAAACCAAGGTAATACTGTATTGACCCTTTTAAGCTACTCACAGCTCCTTCAACTTGTAATTTGCTGAGAAAAACACAGTCATTAAACACAATTGCTCTCTAACAACTACCAGTAATGCTTTTTTACAGTAACTTTGCAGATACTCTCTACTGTGAATAAGCAAGCTACATTTTATCTTTACCAACAGTCACATATTCAGCGTAAGAGATGGACTGAAAATAAAACAATTGGGTTGGGACAGAGTTTGCTCTGAACAACAACGCAATTTGAAGATATTTTCTCTCCAGCTACCTCATACTCAGTCCCTTTTGTATAAATTAGGCTGATAAATAACTAGGAGACTGCAAGCAAATCCTTCCCTTTGAAATTTACCTGCTGTAAGGTTAACAACAGATGCAGTTCCTGCAGTGATAGCATCAACCTGAGAGTGTATTTCATGTTTTGATTCATCAACCTTGTTCTGAACCCATACTCTTGATGCCTGAAGAGCAATAACAGAAAGAAAAATTAAGGATTGCAGTAAGGTTCTGTAAGAGGAGATTCTACATAAACCTCTTACTCCTTCATGAACCTTTAAAAGTGAAACAGGACAACCACCATAATGATAGGATCGTATTTTTTTCTTATATTTCAAGTGTCTGGGAGGCAGCCACTCCCACCATAAATATTGCCCATAGTCTGCATTTAATTGTACATATGCAAATGAAAAAAATAGGATTCAGACACTGTTACGCAAGAAAGCCTGCTACATCTAATCTCAGAAGATGGATGGGAGTGAGGTGGAAAACTCCATGAACTCCTTAAAGAGAGTACCAAAATTTTCACCTCATTTTAAAAGCTTCAGTGGCATCACTTTACACCCAGGGACAATGACTAAACAGATCTGTAAAGACCCCAAAGCATTAAGATGTACTTCTACGAGGGATTAGAAAAACTCACCATGTCCTGCCCTAGAGGTGGTAGGTTATCAACTTCGCTGAGGTCAGCCTGTGCCTGCAGTATTAATAGTCCCCATCAAGGCCTGCTGAGCTGAGGTCTGAAATGCAGAACAAGGAAATATCTGTGTGCTACGTTCCAAACAACTCTTCAAGCACATGTTACACGAACACGAAGAGACGGCAAGTGACAACAATCCAAGAATCACACCAGGCCATTTCATATAGCTAGCTCTCCCCTGGCGTAATGCTGAAAGCAAAGCTCTGTAACCCTCCTCTCCAGACAGTCTTGGTGCTGCCTGTGTCATTTGATACTTCTCCGTATTTGCAGGCATTTATAAAACTCTGAATTTGCTCAGATCAAACAATGCCTAACAAGACACACAAAAAACCCACCAAGCTGGCTTACCAACTTGCATTCTAGGAATATCAATGTGAAAACTGAATTTGCTTCTAAGATATCATTATTGATTTCCTGAAACAGCCTACCAATGTAATCGAGGATGATTCTAAAACTAAATCGCCATCCATATGCAGAACTGAAGGGGTTTGCCAGAGCAGGAGGCTCTCTGTATTGGGTGTCTGTGATAAGGTTTTGGCTGCAGGGGTGGCCCTGGGAGAAGAGGTCAGGAGTTGCTCTGTGCCGGGCACAGCTGGGTCCGGAGAGCTCCAGCAGCCCCACAGCAGGACACAGCTGAGACCAGCAGCCAAACTGGTGGCACGTCTGGGTAAACACTGGTAAGGAAAAGCAAACATCAAGTGGCAGTGAGAGGGAAAAAAAGTTTAAAAACCAATACTGCAAACCCTGGTGTCAGAAGGAGGAGCTCCAGGCAGCAGAGCAGAGATTCCCCAGCAGCCTGCATGACAGACCCCAGTGAATGAGGAATTTTCCCTGCAGCCTGTGGAGACAGCCCTGCCAGAGCAGGTGTTCAGCACACAGCACGCAGAGCACCCCACTCTGCAGCAGGAGGGCACTTCCCTGAAAGAAACTACAGCCTACGGGGAGCTCTTGGCTGGAGCAGGCTCCCAGCAGTCACTGCAGCTGACAGGGGACCCACACTGGGGCCAGCTTATCCTGAAGGACTGCAGCCCACAGCAAAGACATGCACTGGAGCTGAAGAGGAAGGACCAGCAGAGAGGGGCTGTTACAAACTGACCACTTGAGAGCAGGGGGCAGAACAGTCAGAAATGAAGGAGCGAAGTTGAGTCTGGGTGAAAAAAAAAGCGGGTGGTGGGAAGGTGGTTTAGTTTTTGCTTGTTTCCCACCATCCAACTCTATTTAAACTGACAATAAACTAAATTAATTCTCTCCAAGTTGAATCTGTTTTGGCCAAGAAGTTAACTGGTGATTTCCCTATCTTCATCTTGACCCATGTTGAGATAAAGCTTTTTAATCTTTTTTCCCCCTGCCCACCATCTGGTTGAGGAGCAGGAGTTAAAGAGCTGGGTGAGCACTTGGCAATCAGCCAAAGACACCCTACTACACTTGTAACGGTATGTCACGATCTTAAGCACTGATTGTATTATCTATAGCCTGCTGAGGGCTTTTGAGAGTCTTTTAATTTAAACAAGAAATCTCAGCATCAGCTTTAAGCCATGCAGAAAAAAAATAATCTAAATTGGTGGGCCAGTGATAAGCTAAATGTAAGCCTATTTCTTAACATTTCTTACTTGTGTCAGTCTTTAAACATCTTTTTCTAACCCATGAATACTAATTTAACTACTTAGAAGTAAAGAGAAGACTGGAAGAGTTGGCTTTAAAGAAAATAGAGGAAGACAAAATGTAATACCGTAAATATTTCAGGGATGCTCAAAACTTATGTTCAGTGGGACAATCAGCAAGTCTCACTCGATATTCTCCTCGTGCTCTTAGTACTATGCAGAACATGCTGTTTCTGACTACTTGCAACACAGTAAAGTTTACAATTCATTTTTTGTATTTGAAATACAAAACAAGGAAGTTTCTCACAAGCGGGGGCATGTGTCCTCTGTGCATCTGACCAACTGTGACTTGTTGCTGGGGAGAAGGCATGATGCCAATGTTAAAAGTCTCCGGGCCACTGGAACCTGAGCGCATGACAGCCGGTAGTGCCACAGAGCCATGCTCCACCTTCCCCGTTCGGTTGAACTGCTGCTGCAAGATGGTGGATCTGAAGAAAAAAAAAAAAGCGTAAAATAGTTAAGCTCCTGCAAATCAATTAAGCTCTGATGTATGTTATTTCTTTCTAGCAATTTTCTAACACATTAGACACAAATAATCTGGGGCTTTTGGCAGATCAAACAGTAATAGCACTAATCAGCAGACACCAAGGAAAGAAGGCAAAGCGCACAACTTTATACACACATGCACAGACAGTACGTGCTAATAATCTGGCAGCCTCTCAGGTAATGGGCTGGGAGGCAGGATACTCTCAAGAGTAATAAAAGTTATTGCCATCCGTGGTCATGAACTTCTTTGCCAGATATACTGTCCATATTTAAATATGGTTCAAGCTTTAACAGCTACATGCGTTGACAGAAATTCTGGCTTTAACAACAACAATCTGCTGGGGGAAAAAAGAATTTCAGATGTGAAGAATCTTGTATTCATCTATTAGAAGTTTTGGGCTTCTCTGCACAGCACTTAGCTAACAGTATATTCTGGAAGGGATGTGGAGAGGGCAGTGCCAAAAGCAAGCACTTCTGAGCATGTGTGATCCATCAAAAGCTGAAATTTCATGTAAGACCATGTTAAATATCTAACAGTTCTCCCTCATATAAACCATACGCTTAACAATAAATAAATCAAATAGACTTTTCACATACACACTGTTGATACTGCCATCCTCAGAGTTTCACGAGAAGGCTTGAGAGGCTCATTATAATATCACAAACCTACTTTTATTCCTTTACTGCAAGGGAAGGTCCAATATTTCTTTTCCAGAGCATGGCCAGCTCCACAGTTTTTCTTTTTGCTATGTTCATTGGCTCTCATACTGAAACCACAGTCTGATCTACTGGTACTAAAACCTTACTGTTACCCACCCCACTCATCTGCTTGGCTTGTCTAAAGTGGTTTGGTGCAATACACCAGCTCTGTTCATGACACAGTGTCCGATTAAACTGGCAGGAGTCAAATACACCGGTAACCATGGATCTAGCACACATGAGCAATTAAAACCTTCTAAATCCTAGGTGTTTGCATGAAGATAAAAATCTAATGTAACCATTTCAGCTCTACATAATTGCTCCCTATTCTATCTCCCCAACATTTTACTGAACTAGAGCCTGAGCTCCTTGTTCAAGGGTCATGTTACCACAACCTGGCACCACTGGTTAAGGCTGGGTGCCTTAACCAATAATTTTGTGACAAATAACTGCTCTCCAATCCTTGAATGAAGTTAGGAGCCTGGTGAATTGCCTAGGGATAGTACCTCCTTCTATTGAAATACTTTGTAGAAAATAATTCTTTAACAGTAACAACTAGAGGATTTCATCTAGAAAAAGGCCACCACAGCTAAAAGGTGTCACTCTTAAAGTGACATATACTCACTTCTTAGGTGAAACAGACTCTTCCAACATGGTTGATTCCTCATCACCTTCAAGCCCAAATCTATCTTTACTTTGTTTCTGGGAGAGGAGGAAAAAAAAAAGCCAAAGTTAAACAATGTGTGTTGCTTTTTGCTTTCTCTCCACCATCTCCTTGTCATTTCTCAGAAACCTAGTCAAACAATTTGCAGTCTTGTCTGCTGGACACAGTGTGTTTTGGCAGTGTGTGACAATACAACCTCCACCTCAGAAAACATGTCCTTCAGCATTTAACAGAGCAGGTTCTAAACCCTGGCAGATTAAGTGCATAATGGAAAAAAGCTTATTGGTGCCTTTTTTAATAAAAGTCAAAGAAAATGCTGAATTGCTGTCTTTTTTCTTACAGAAAAAAATGTTCTGACTGAGTGATATGCAACAGGAGCAACTACCAGCACAGATGGGATAGGTATCATTCCCCTTCCCATTCTCTTCTAACTCAAGAACATCAGATCGAGTCAGGTAACTCGAACTCAGCTACAAGTTACGTTTAGCACCCTGAAGTGTTACTATGTGGTGCCACCTATCACTAGGAAATACAAATTCAAAGTAGAGATGTTAAATTCTATAGTTTATCCAAGTTATTTTACCATCATTAATTCAAACTTTTGGGCAGTCTGCACGACTTTCTGAAGCAGATTTTGTAACAGTGAATATACAGAAGGGGAGTAAGTCTTAAAACAACAGGAAACTACCATAAGTCATCAAAGTAGTGCCTTGTAAAAACAGTCCATCTCTACTTGTGACCTGGTGCAAAGATACTGTCTACTTTCCACCTTGTTACCTGATTTGTAATCTGAATATATGTATGCATATAAAGAGAGAAACATCCACTATGATCTTGGGTACATTCAGTGGGAATTTCTCATGCACATCCATACACTCTGGACACCTTTCTCAAAGTCCTTACTACCGTACAGTATGCATGAACTGAAACTGTCTAACTCTAGTCAAGATTGTGCCTTGCTCCCATATTAATTTGAGGTAAAAAAATATATCTAGATTAAAATATGGTGAAAGTTACTCAAGTTCAGGGATCCTTGTCAATTTATGAATGATCTGTAACCAAAACTGCAGGACAAGAGGGGTTGAGGAGTGAGAGTGGGAAGTATTACACCATAATACTTTAGCAGAAAAAAATGTGCCACCAATACACCCTAGAGCAAATAAGTTGAAACAGTCCAAAACACACCAAGAATTAACATTATACAACTGAGAATGATAGACCATGCTTTGAGGGATGCATCACAGAGACAACTAGGGCTCGACAATTGGAAACCGTGTGTTTCTCATACGCATTATGAAGCATCATGGGTGTTTATTACTTAACCTGCTCCTAATTCAATCCATTTTAAAACTGCCTATGTCAGCAGATTGTAAAAAGGAAATCAAAGGACTGGAAAGGAGTGGAAATATGCACATCTGTATTCTATCAAGAGAGAAAGGCTGCCTTCTTTTGGCATTAGAGAAGCTACTTTTGAAGCTTAAGAGTTACAATCAAGTTTTAAACCATCTATAGAAATCTGCAGTTTATTTAACATTTACTAAATCCGAGACTGACAGCCTCAGAGAAAAAGGCATGTACTGTGATGAATTCTGGCAATTCTTTCCAGTCTGATTTCATAGCACTTGATGTTGCATCCTACACTGTTCACATGAAGAAAGGCAATATATTTGCTCGAGCTGCTTAGCTTGGTCATTTCTTTACTATTAAAATCTGTTACAGCAAATAATGATGTAGTTTGGTTGAATCTTAATAAAGTAAGAAGTTATGAAAAAAAAATAAGCCCAAGGGCACTGTACCAAGCCTGACCCATACTACTGCTATAGTTAACAGCCTTGATGCTTCCCAAAGGCACTCGCTTAAGTTAAACAGAGCTTATATTTCTTATAGGTAAATAAAAACACCAAAACATAAGATGCAACACTGACTTCATGAGAGAAAGAGGATTGCAGATTGTACGCATTTGAGTTTCTGCACTGCTGCACAGTGACTGTTACTACACATCATTTTAATATCGTACCTTCTTTAGGATGATATCAATGTAACCCGCAATCAGTTGAGATATCTGTTCTCCTTCGGTGGTCTGTACTGAGTAATAGCTTTCCTGATATTCACCAAAATCCTGAGGGAAAAAGAGGAAAAAAACCCAAACCTCTCTGAAAATGAAACACAAATAAATGGCAAAACACTACCAAACATGAGGAATAGAATTCAAATTTTAAAATTGTTTGTACAGGCATTTTCTTACATTCAACAGTAAACAAAACTGCTCCAAAACTCTAAACTGGTCTATATATGGGAGGTGAGAGAGAAGAAGGGAAGGATGCTTTTTACTGCAGCTTAATCACAAATGTTTCATAAATTGAAATGCCAGAGGACCAAGAGATCCTCAGTTTGACTTTATGAGATGCAGTCACTAAAAGACTGAGAAATCTTCAGAATTTCCATGCAAGTGGAAATTAAATGCACGTGATTAAAGTGAATTTTCTAGCCACTGCCTCTTGCTCTGCTGCTTTAAACAACCTTCTCCCATTCTTCTTGCAGAGGTCTCTTACGGACTAAATAATTAATAGAACACCACATTCATGGAAGTTTTTTAAATCTGTCATTATCTAGCTTTGTTCATGTTCATATACTGCAAGTCACAAAGTGCTTTATGAATGGCAAGCACCATCAGGGATTAAGCAGGTGTGAACCTTTTTAGCGGTTAGGCACCGGACAGATTTAAAAAAAAGCATTTCTTGAAAAGATTTAAACAGTACTTTTGGAGAACTAGTCCATCTAGAAACACCAAAATATGGATTGACCCTAGACACCAATATAGACCATTCATTAGTTTAAGACTAAATGTCTCTAATGCTAGAAAATTACAGATAGAACAAGCTACGTTACAGAAACTGTCTGAAGTCCATCTCCCTTTCTCTTTGCCCCACAGACCCCTCTTCCTCTGAATATATACCAAAACATTACCAGGGTAAAGCTTTTAGGTGAGGCCGCCCAGCGTTTCACAGTTGTCAGTGGCCATTCCTGCAACACCTCCTTGGTCTTCTCGTCCACACGCATCACTGAGTCTTTGGTGACACCCAGCAAACGAGGAACCAGCTTGTTTTTGCCTTTCATTTTTTCCTATAACAAGGTGTGAAAGATTGTTCTTCGTTCAAACGGAGCTTGCCATAGGAGAAAGGAAAAGCACAACGGAACGTACTGAACAAAGGGGAGAAATCGGCATGCAGACACGGACAATTTAGAACCCCAGGCTCCGTTTTTTTGGTGACAATGCCTTAAAGAAGCTCTGGTCTCTACTAAGTCTTTGCTATGCAGTTCAAAAGACACTCAATCTTCTTCAAGACCGTGACCTGTTTTACTGTATAGATTAAGAGAAATTAATCATGCAGCTGATGTTGTCCTTCAGATGCAGGTTTTCTGCATCCAGTTCATTAATCATTAAACTTCTAAACAGGAAGAATTCATGAGTTCTTTATGAATATTTTTCTGAAGGCAGTACTGTGTTGGTAATGAAAAGAAAAAAGGAGAAATTGAACCATGACAGACTCAACTTGCTTTCTGGAATGAGTATGACAAGAAACTAAACTGAAATTATAATTCTGTCCCACATAATAGTTTATGCTTTTTGCCAAATGCTGCTTTCAGACAGAAGGCTGAAAGAACACCTCTGAGCTTTGTTTAGTGCCCAATCTGAGCTAATGCATAACCAGCCATACAATCTGGTCACAGTAGGATCTACATTACCTTAACAAGAAAAAACGACACTCCGTAGGTCCGCAGGGAGCGGGCTAGCTTCACATACTTCACTTTGGCTTCTATTTCAGTCATCTCACCACAGTTTTTGTGCTCCTGTAATTAGAGTTCAGTATCACTTAGACAGAAACAATGCTTTCTGAAAAGAAACAAACAAGAAGAGCTATAACTTTTATCTATTTAAGGATGTTTAGTTAATAACAGCTACAATTAGAATATTTGAAGTAATACTGACTAGAAGTGTTAGCAAGACTGTATCCTGTAATTCCTCACTGTGGAGAACAAAACCTGTGCAGATGGAACACTCCTGTTTGGCCTTCATCTATCTGTGCCTCAGGTCAAGCACATTTCAACCACTTCCGAAACAGTTTAAGATTCCAGGTACTGCTGCTATCTGAACACCACTAGGTTTCATACTTGAACACCTCTTTACTTGACTTTTTAAAAGTCATTTAAAAGTCCCAGCACCCTTTTTTTTTTTCAGGAACAGACTATCTATTCCTGCTTTGTGCCTTAAGCTTCTGATTTGTGGGAGCTTCACACCTTGTGGTTGACACTTTCTCATCTCTTGGGGGTACCTCCAATGGGCTTTTTTTCACCAGTTGCATTGTTACCCACATTTTTTCCATCACATCAAACAAATTCTACAGGTGGAGAAGAAGCAATGACTTTTCTAAATAGTTCATCCTGACATACTCATTTAGGTGTACCTTAACTCAATGTCTTTTTATTACTTGAACAATTTACTCATTAGTAAACTTTATTGCCTGTAAGTTATGACAACTGCCAATATTAGGTACTTAAAATTAATCTCAGCATCTGCTCTCCTATACCAGAGAGTTCTGCTGAAAATCCTTGCCCAAGGTCCTGCTATTTACAAAGTGTCTGTGGGATTCCCTATGGTATCCCATCTCCCTCTCACATTCTTCTGAACTGCTGGCTGACTCCTCTTCGATGCTGACTGATGGCAGCAGGGGGAGCACCAAGAACAAGAACACAGAAAACAATTTTCTATTCCAGTTTAAGTTACCATCTCGACAATTTTTCATGAAGAGGCACTGGGAGGAACAACTGCAAAAACTCTTTGCATGCCGAGGACATGGCCTGACATGATATCTATCGAATTTACCACTGAGAACACAACCAGGATCCTGACAGGGCAAGTAGCCCAAATATGGAAGCTGTAGATGGAGTATTTGCCAAAAATCACCCGCCAAACAAGCATTATATCACATAGGAAACAGTTGATTTTCTGCCTTGCTGTTTTATCTTTGCCCAGCACCAGTGCCTTCACCAATGAGCTTCTTGTCCACGTGCTGAAGTACGTCGTGATTCAGACTGCTCATAGATCATAATTGATGCGGGCAGAAACTACATGCTATTAATAATATGAGTGACACTCAAAAATGAATGGATCTTTTCTTGCTTAAACTGCAATATCACCGCTAGTAGCTAAAGGTACACAGAGAAGCGTTATACATACTCAGCTATGAGCAAGTACTACAAGCTCCAGGTGGAGCAGACCTGCTGAGCTACAGAATTCCTAGAACAGGGTTGTAACAGACACAGGAAAGTACGTGACCTGTTCCTGCTCTTCAACTTGTCTCCCAAGTTGAAATCACCGATTACTGGTATGTCCTTCCAGAAACCAGTCGAGCTGTTGGCCTCAGAATTATTCAACTTATATTGTATTGCCAAAGTTGTATTTCAGTAGGCACAGAGCTGAATCTACAGTACTCAAATTCTGAGATTACTTCCAACAGTATCAGTATATTTTATACTCAATGCCTTCAGTCTTTTGTACCTGTGAAATGCCTAGACATGTCACTGAACTTGAGCATTAGCTAGCAGAACTCCGTATTATTTGAAGCTCATGCTTGACTAATGAAGGTATGTAATGAAAACTGCTTTTCCTAGATGTGCTTCTATTGCACTACAAATGCACATCCTAAATTTCGATGCAACTGAGAAAAACATCTTAAGAATACTGAATACTCACTCTCTCCCCTTCAACAAGGTACAATGAATAATCAATATTGAAGAAAAAAGATCAGGACAGTAAATCTGCTGAAGAATGAAAAGCTGTCAGATTCTTCACACCTGATCTTCTTACAGTTATATAATTCAAGTATATACAGAGTATACACCTGTGAAATCTCATATTTTTCTTATAAAGGACAAAAAACTACTGGAGGCTTTTCAGCCTCACAATTACCTGAAATATTCTCTTTTCAGCCCCTCTTTGTTTGGTATATTCTTTAGGCAGGAATTCTTTTAGGCTAGAAAAAAAAAGTAAAAATTCCATAGTTAATGATGCCTTCTTGAAGAGGGATGATTTCCATGCTCCCTTATTGGCATAAAGTCCCCCAAGCTTCCTAAAATGGCTATAAACACCTATAAAATGAAAGAAACCTCTGGCCAAGTAGAGTGAGACCAGAGGTCACCTTACATAATTAAAAAAAAAAATCCTTTAGTTACATCCTCATGTAATATCTTCTTCATGTTTTGAAAAGTCATCACAAATAAAGAAAAGCTGGGACACCCTCCCTTCGTAAACTGTATGACATCTCTCAGTAGCTCAGAGGGTTCACATTTAAATCCAGATAAACTCATAATCTGGGGGGAAGAAGTGGGCATCAAAACGTGGTCCAGATCTCTGTCTGAACTCAGACACTGTTAGAACTTCCCAGTAGCACCGATTTACTGACATGTGGGACCAAGTTCTTCCTCCGTGTCTTGCAAGAAATGTTACGACACCAATATTTTACTAAAAAACTGCAAAGCCATTGAAGTGGACCATCACTATTTCAAAAAACAAGGTAATAAATAACCAGTCCTAATTTCTGTAGCACTCAGATACAAAGAGAACTAATCAAGTTCAGCCTCCATAATAGAGCTTGGTCAGAAAGAATCTTTAAACACCTCACCTGTACCTCCTTGCTGCATAGTAAAATGAACCATCTATCTCAGCCAAACATCACCCCAACCTGAAGACCTATCAACATCATGCTTTAGCAAGAACCAGTTCTTTTCTGGATAGCACCTGTCCATCTGGAACACTCTCCATTCTGACGAAACTAGGTCACACATTCAGAAATTCATTTTCAGCATGAAGACCTTTCCACAGTTCAAAAAAAAAAAAAAAGGTTTCTAAGGATCCACCCTGTTATGGACTACTGAGTAAAAGAGAAAAAGTATGACTGGAGAAAGATCCTCATTTTGATTTATTTAGTAAGTAAGCAAGCACACTATTAACACAAAGAGCTAGAAATAGCTACTATCATAGGAAGTTACAATTCTTGAGAAAGATGAGTTTGGGTTTTTTAAACAAGATTGGCAAAAAAATCGCTCAACTCTTCTGTGGGGTTTTTTGGGGTGGATGGGTGTTCCTTTTCTGTTTGGTTGTTTTAGTGTGCTCTTTTGTGTTTTTAAACATAAAAGCCTGCATTGCAGACAAGGAAAATAACCCAAAAGACTAAATCAGGATTTTGCGCTTTCTTCAGAAATACTATTCAGTATTGAGATCATTCATTGTTTTCCTTTCCATAAAGCTCTAGCAGTATAAATTAAAGTCACAACTGTCCTTGCTAATCTTTGTTCCAATCCTCCAGTAATTACATCTCACTACTACACGATAAGGAAATCTCTTCTTGGGACTTGTTTACGTGGACATAACATCATGGGGCAGGGAAGGCTGAAGAGCCAAATGAAGTTTGCAGATAAGGACTGAACATAGCCTTTTAACGCAAAAAGCACATACCTTTATTCCAAAACAACTAATGCGTTTATACAGAATTTCCTAGGTTCAAATCAGTTTGGTTAAATTCACTCCCAAGGTCAAATGAAGAAAAAAAGCAAACCAACCCTTTCCCACTCAAAAAACCCACAACCAAACTGGAGTTAAACGCAGTTTAACTTGAAATGTATTTATACAAGAAAATGATAGTTATTGATGCATTTTTAATTATCAACTTCTATTAACTGGACTTAATTTCCTCAGCTATCGACATGCAGATAAACTATCAAGACCATCAAATTTTTTAAGCTTTGTTAACTAGGACACACTCGAAGACAACATCACTGAGCAAACATTATTTGGAACTTCTTAAGCAGCAAGAGTTAGGGAAACAACTTAGCACTTTGCCCATTAAGCACCAACTGGTGTACTGCTGCACATGTAGCTGGAAGTTAGACTGGATGCTCTGTGCTTGTGTCGCCTTCTAGTACATCGCAAGCAGACAAGTAAGCACCTCAAACGAAAAAAATAAATGCTAGTGGTAAACAGACTGAAATTTTAATGCTCCTATAATCTAGATATTTTCTTTACGATGCAACAAACAATAGTTCCACTTTAACGGCTTGTTTAATGGAGCTAGCAAAACCACTTGGAATATATTATCAATTGCCTTCTTCAATCTCTTCATTGCATATTATTATAATGGACACTGAACTCGGTTAAAAAAACAAACAAACAAGCAACCATCTAATACCAAGCAGTGTTTATTAACTTCATTTACTGTGAGTTTGTTCCTGCAGTTCTTAAAAATAAAATACCTCAGTGTGAACGACACTGGTTGTTTTTCATTAGCACAAAGGTTTATCCAGCGTTCTTGAAAAAGACGGTTTAAGACGGGAAAACAGGCTAAAGAAGTGAGGTTATCGGATGCCAGTAATAAAAATAAATAAAAAAGAAGTGGGTAGTTTTAGCTGCTCCTTTTCTATCTGCAAATACTCTGGCTTCTCTGTTCTGTGATTCTGTAAACAGTACGAGTTCTTTATTAGATATTCCCTCCACAAATTTAAACACAGTGTACGTACCGCTGTAGGTGCAATGCAAAACTTCAGCTGTATGAGGAAGGACTATTTACAAATTGATAGTTCAAGAACTTCCACAATTTACTTTGGTATGAGCTTCAAGGAAATCCCAACAACCAACACCAAAGCGTTAACAAGATGCAGGCAATACTATTAATCTGTGCCAAGAATAATTTATCAGTGACAACAAAGGATACCAAAGTTCACTCTGTATAAACATATCGCAGACACGGCAAACTGAACTAAGCTGTTTCAACACAACGCTGTGAAATGTTAATACTACTCTGTTACATGTTGTTTTCTGTATGAGCTGACAGACTTTCCTTCAGGGAATCTGTAACAGGTTCAGGTTTCAGTGGGGAGTGAATGGACACCTCAGACAAGGAAATGTATTTCACATACTGAGCTGCAGCATACAGTTTACATAAAACATATCTACTTTCAAATTTGAAAAGAATCATTGTTCATCCACAAATGAGCAGGAAATATTTGGATGAAACTTTTAAAAATCTCCATCTTTTTCAAGAAATAAATGAGGGGTTTTTTTCCTGAAAAGATGAGATATGCATTCTCAGGGGAAAAAGAAATAAATTTTAAAAAGCATTTATCTACAGTATTTATATATACTGTTCAAAACAAGTTAGGAGTAATTGGATTATTTAGACTCACAAAACAAAAGCATGAGGTTTCACAAAAATGCCGTCATGAAGGCTAGTAGAGCCAAACACATTCAACAAGTCATAAACAAGTACACTTGAAATTAGAAGGCAATGACTGGGGACCTACGGTTCTGGAGCTCCACTATTTCTAAAACAGAAATCCTTAATTTTATAAACCTGATTATACACCAGGACATTGAGTGACTACACTTAGTGATGTGCAAAACTTCATCTTAATACAGTCTAAGCCCATTTAAATGAAAATAAAACAACAGTGGAGAAAGTTCCCTGCAGAAAACAACAAGGTTCTAAATTTCAAAATTCCAGTTCTAAGTGATTTTCACTGGAGTAATTTCTCTTTCTGACATGCAGTTCAGTTATTTGTACCTTTTCATTTCTATTAGGATAGAAAAGATAATGCGATAATTCTGTGATGAACTTGAATCTAGCATTGCATACAACGTAGAAATATCCAGCCAGCAGTTTCAGTTCGCCATAAAATCACAGTTATTACATGAGAGCTTAAAAAAAGAAGAAGAAAAAAATCTCTACACTGAAAATACCAAGTTGATGACCTAGAACAACTTAAGCAACACTGCTGCACAGCATTTTACAAAAAACATTGGTAACATTTATGAGGAATTATTGCTTTGCAAATTTAAAGCAACTGTTCCTGGGAATGCCTAACTCTTGAAATCATTACCATGACACAACATTAGCTGGTCATGAGGTAATGCCTTAACAGTTTGCTGCAGGAAAACTCCTGAGTGGAGGGAGAAAGGAAGAACAAGCAGACAATGGGCAAATCGCAGAGGAACACGCTGTTGTGCAACTGGTCACACCTCTAGGGAGTAAGAGCTGAAGCTACTACGCTGAGTCCCCGTGATTCCTCAGAGCCATCAGCAGTCTATTAGGAAAGGTTCATGGACCAATCAGTAGCAGACAAACAGTACAAAGAGCTGATTATTAATTGGAACCAAAGGACATTTGTTCATGTGGTTTGCCTGCACCACTGAACCACTTGCAGAAGTAAAGTGTTTCCAACAATTGTTGTTGCAGAATTAAATGTTCTTGCAAGCCACCGCTGTAAAATGATTCCCTGCGACACAGTAAGCCCCAGACTCTGGCTCACAAAGGAAGTTTAAGTGTCAGCACTGAGCACTCGGCCAGCAGAACAGGACAAAACTAAATATGCACCCACTATTTTGTGCATCCCATTAAGGTATCTATGAGTCTTATATGTAGGCAAGGCCTGATGGACTGTGCAGTAAATAGCTTGCTTTTATTTCCCTACGTCCCTTTCCTCAGGCTTCAGCCCTTTGTTAATTCTACTTCAGGCAAACCAATCGGAAAAATCAAAATCAGCAGATAAATGGGATATCTAAATTTCAGTCAAACTGAACTTGTTCTACTGATAGCAGTAAAGTATCACAACAAAGGTTAAAGGACGGGCCACTTGAAAGCAGGACTCTTGTCCATGTCTGAATCGACGAGCAAAATTCCAGATCTCCCTTCATACAGCACCAGGAGAGGGTGAGACTTAACAACTGATTAATGCCACTAAGAAGTCTGGAAAATTTAGCCACTAGACCCAACAATATTAGCTTCATTCAAATGACAAAGCACCTTTCCATTCGTGCACTGTCCTAGCAAATCAAGTATTTGTGATGTAAACTGATGCATGCTTCATTCACACATGGCATTCCTAAACACAGACGGAAGCAGACTTCTAAGGAAGAACAAAATCCCAGTTGTCTCACGTTACCAGGTGGCTGGGGAAGCCAGCTGGGTACTTAAATGGCAGCAGCTCATGCCCTGTGCTGCCTAATAAGCCACTGCCAAAGGTCCCCTCACCAGTTGGGGTTGCTCATTTCAGCAGTAAGACTCTTTTCACAGAACACACACTGAATCTGAATACCTCTGCTTGGAGTACTAAAACACATTTAGTCTGGGACAACATTAGCTACACCTGAGGTCACCCGAGTTTAGAAGTTAGAAGTGTTTACTCTAAAAATCCAGGTTTGTGTTTGTGTTCTACATGAGGTCCAAACTGGATCTGTGCTTGAAAGCCTCCAAACTCGCAGGCCTTCTCAAAGGAGACGGGGTGGGAACCATTCAGAATGTCATCCCGAGCCTATAGGAGGTAAGCAAAGGCATGTCAGTGACACCCAAAGGAACTATTACATCTCTCTAATTCCTTGAAAGCTTGAACACAGCTCAAGAATGCAGGCATCACACTTTTCTGTCCATATATCTTTATTACTCCATTTGAGGTGTATTTCATGACTAATAAAGAGCTAGATTATCTTCTGGTGAATATCTACAGAGACTTATTGAAACTACAATTGTAACAACTTTTATCAAAAAGAGAACCTGACATCCATTTCCTGCTGTACATGCCTATAAAATACAACACATTACGTACACATATATATACACATATATATATGTGCATACATGCACAGATACAAAAGCTTTTATCTTTTGTAATAGCAGAGAAAGTGATCTGTATAACTAGTAAATAAAAGCAAGATTACTGTTGTAGAAATGGCAACAGAAGGCAAACAGCATTTTCCTTCTTTTTTTTTTAAATTTACAGGATTTCATAGGTCTGGCTCATCTACCCATAGACAAAACAATGACAAGTAGTATCAACACGTACTGTCCTAATAGTAGCCTGAAAAATATCTCAGCAGCAGGAGAACAGCTTAGCATGATACAGTCTAAAATACTTGAAAACTGCAGTGCAGTCTTACAAGCAATGCCATCTTTATCTCTTACCACAGGTTTTTAAAATTGAATTTAGAGCAATTCCATCTGAATCAGCTGCAAGTATAAAAAACTGAACATTCCATTAAACTTGCAATGTTTGGGTTTTCAGGGTTCCTTGTACTTTTGAAAGAAAAATTTTAACGCAGAGTTTAAAAGCCTGCTTTTTTTTCAGACTGCATTACAGGCACCTGCATTGGAGTCTTCAGTTAAATGACACCCGTATAAAACTCTCAGCTTTGCTAAGGTATATATAATACCTCTAAGAGTTTGGGCAATCTGCCTAGGTGGACTCCCGCTGTTATATGATATGATCCACTTTGAACAGGAAGGCAGCCTGCCCTGTGTCCTGTCTGGGTAGAATATTGGAAAGGGAGTGCAGAAGAAGAAGCTTTCTCATTGATCAGGTGAAAGAAAAAAAAAGAGAGACGTACAAAGCTGGTTGCAAGACTATCCTGAGATATTCCTGTTACATAGAAAGCAACACCTATAGAAGACAATGGGGAGAAGAACTAAAAAGAACAACTCAAGAGACTAAAGACATTCATAAATTTTAAGGATACCACAACAAGGATGTGGAAGTCAGCGGATTTTTGATTGTGTGTCCATTATGGGGTTGAAAGTATTTGATTAAAAAAAGGAATCAGCAAAGTCTCTGTACTACCACATGTTCTTGTAAGGATAGACAAAAGAAGTAAAATCAAAGCATAACCAGAACTGGAATTCTAGAAGACAGAAGAATTTTTTGCTGAAATACACAGCTTTCCTCAGACAAGGTAAAACCCGTGCTTCTGGTCCACATACTGTACCTGAACATAAAGCAAATTAAGCTGAACGGGATCTCTTGAATCTACATTCTGGTCTGAGTAAAAGAACTTTCGTCTCAACAGTAGTGTTTCATTTTCATCAACACCTTGTTCTCTGAACGTCCGGCTGTGATCTAGCCAGTTTACTGCAACGGAACCACAGACATGGGCTTTGTTAAACACACAGTGGTGCCAGTGTTTAAAGCTGTTGTACAAATCATGCAATAATTGGCACTTCCACTGGAAGTGGAAGCTCCGCAAAAAGTGTTGCTTTGATTTCTCTTTCTATTCAGCGTTGAAGGTTGCTACAAACGAGAATTGAAGAACAGCACTGCTGAGAAAAAATTATTTACTACAGCATAAAACACCATTAATATTGTTGAAGAAACAACTACAGTAACATTTTAATACTAAATTTACATCTTCAAAGCTTCATTGCAAAATTACTTAAAAGTTTAACACATTTCCTCCCAAACATCAATTGTTCTGTTTACTTTTCTTATCCCTTAATACAATTTTAAAACATCTTTCTGCCAGTCACAGTTCATCTTAGTGCCTAAATGTAAAACAGAGAAAAATGGTTCTCATTGGCTTACACACAAAGTAAATCAAACACTGTCTTAGATCTTTGGCAAACTCCATTTACACTTAAATACCTTCAGAGACAAAACTACGTTTTGATGGCTTTCGGTGGGCATCAATATTTAAATAACTAACTTGAATGAAGGGGAGAAATAGTCATTATAGAAATGACCCTTCACACTTAAGTTACAAGTCTCCTATCGAAAAAGTAATAAAAACCACTTCAACAGGCCCAGAGTCATAGCCAGAGGCATTTACCTAGTTCTAAAAATAGTCAGTAGTAGGTCATATACAAAAGGATGCCAAATACAGGCAGAGATCAACTGAGACACACTGAAAAATCTAAAAATGCATTCCTGTACAGTTTCTTTGCAGTATACATCAATTGAAGAATATTCTGCAATACACTACTCACAATCATCATCTGTGTGCAGCTTTGCCTTCAGTTTTTCCATTTTTCTTTCATCACGCAACAATGTCCTATCTTTCTTAAGCGTTCCTGTGCTCTCCTCTTTCTTCTCTTCGATGCTCTCCTGGATTAAGGAATATTCCTCATAATTTGTTATTCCTGGAATTATAAATAAACCCAGTGTTTGTAACAATAAAAATGGCATAAATTTTAGGACACATGAAATTTTCCTTTCGGTATATTAAAACACCAACAGTTGATTTCAAATACTGTAAAGATATTCCAGATGAAATGCTAAAGAAGATCCCAAGAATAAATATAAAGAATAAAAGATAAATAAAGAATAAAAGATAAATATAAAGAATAAAATATAAATATAAAGAATAAAAGATAAAATTCATGAGGATGAAGATCCCAAGAATAAAAGCTACTTCGGCATTCAAGACATCTCTCCAATATCCAGCATTATCCTCCAAACCCAACATCCCTTCACCATCAGCTTTTCAGAAAGACATTAAGGTTTTTCTGTTACCTACCAAGAGAAGAGACCAAATTAAAAATATGCTGGAATTTAATACAACAGTAAATTCCAAAATGCAGACACACCACAGCACATTTCCTTTCATGGATACCTACAATCATGTCCTGAGAACTCAGTAATGTCAGCTTGCCCATGATGTCTAGAAGAGATGTGGCAGAGCAGACTGATGAACAGAAACTGTGAAATATGGGTTTTTTGAGTTTTGAAACTGAACTCTTCTATGAATTTTATATGAAACTGATACAAAAATCAGTTCACTTTTAGCATATGTGCTAAGTTGCTCTCACTTATTTGCTCTATTTGCTTTTTTCCACTGTTTGGTAAAGTATGTTTATGTTATATAGGAAAGAAAACTAAATGTTCACCTACATGACCACATTCACGAAAATAAGTCAAACTAATTTTTCAAGTAAATTGGTTATAGCGCATTAGAATCCAGCATAGAAACTCTAAACCAAAATTGAAACAAATGAGTTTAAATTTATCTTAATTCATTTTCCAAGTAAATTAATCTAAATTAAATTAAGGCCACTTTGATTTTAAATGAGAATTAACCAAGGGTTTAAGATGATTTAAACTAATCCATGTTGGATGCATGTTTATAGTTAAATACCAATTAATTCTCCAAAATGTCTTTGGTTAGATAAATCCAGACTATAACCGACATGACACACTTTTGACCAGCTGCTCTGGATGTCTTCCACGTGTCATTTCAAAAACGATATGGTGCTGTGATCAACTCAATCCTAACGACACAGAGTCCAAAGTTTAGGTATATTTCAAGGTTACAGTATTTGTCTGTTACCCCTAAAAAATTAACTATAAATTTAGTTCTAATTTTCTACCACATAGCAGAAAAGCATATATAAATGTAACAAGAAAGTTTATAACTATGTTGTCAGAAAACTTTGCCTTCAACTGCTAAATACTGAAGTTTAAGGATATAGCTAACTCTCTACTGACTTTAATAAAACTTGCACAGCATATTTCAAAATAAGTGTTTGGTAAATGTTAACTGATAGCAAATATAAATATGTTTTAACACGCGTGCCAATTTCTAGCCAGTACTACATATAAGATCCTGAAAATCAAGATGCAAATATGTGAGAAAAACAAATTATTAAGCACGAAGGCCCCAAAATCTTACCTATCCTGCTGCAAATGGTAACGAGCAATTCACCAACTGTTTTAGAATCATCCACCATGACTGTTTTCACCGAACCATCCAACATACGTATCTTCTGAGGCCTCTGTTTCTTTTTGTACTCCAGTATATCCTAGGAAGTAAGCAACACCTTTTCTAAATGCTTTTTGGAGCCAGTACAAGTCAACTCATTAACAAAGATGCCTAAAACAGGATTCCTTCCTCACCCCCAGCAGGATTTTGTTTTTTTTTTATAGTATAGCCAAAATTAGTTGTGTTGCAAACTTGAAGTGACTGCTTTTAGTTCTGTCAATGTCGTTTTTAAGAACTTGTCCTAGCTCGCAAGAACAAAGCTAGACAGAGCAGAAGCGACCAAAGTACCTTTGTACTGTAAAAAGTAGTTTAGCATAAAGAAATTTACACTGTAATGCAAGGTCATCTCAAATATAAAGCTTATTACAAAATTCACTTTTTATCTTTCTGTTAATCATTCTACGAAGACAGTATTGGCCACTGTAGCTCAGTCACAACCAGACACAGAATAAAGTACCTACTGAGGCACAGCAAGGAAGAGAAATGGCCCATTTCAGGAGCACACTCAAGACCCTCCTATGCCTCTAAATACTAAACATTCTTTCTTGCTATTTGGGAAACAAGTTTTCTGAAAACATCCTGATGAAAGAATCAGCAGACTTGGACCATACCCCATTTCGCAGCATGTAATAATCCAGCGTTCTTCCAGCCTCCAGCCATATACCTTTTCGAGGATCATCATCTGACAAGAACAATCCATAGTCAGAGGCTGTGGAACAGAAGAGACAGAGACTCATTGAAAAAATATTAAAGTCAACGTGGTTTTAATTCAAGGTTACTCAGCTTCAGGTATAAGTTTCCATTACACTTACCTTCTATTCTTCATGAACTTTCATAGAAATTGTTTTCTGTGCTTCAGAAAGTATTTAGCTTAGCAGCGTATAGCAGCATAGATCAGGCTTTATAGAATACTTGAACAAAAGCTTCACTGAGCAAGAACATGACACACCTGTGTAATTTGCATGACTTCTCCCCAAGATGGCCTTTTTTAAATGCTCATAGGTCCTGCTTTGGAATTGATAATCGAAAATACAAGCAGTTTGGGCTTAACCATAGTGGGTCTTTTCAAGTAGTAGCTCAATTCTAAAACACACGCTGTGCTTTCAACCTTTCACATATTAAGTTTAGCATAAACTTTGGAATCTTTTTAGTAGATGCCTCACACTTGCACACGTGAAATAATATAAGGCTTCTACAGTTACATCTATAATCACTCTCTTAGGAGAAATGTGCATCTATAGCAGGCTAAACATGTCAGTTGAATTTTTCAGAATCGCACATAAAAATTACATTGCCACAGAAGAACAAACCCAGTGCTAGGCTTCAAGGACTAAACTCCAGGTATGTAACATGAAGGACCATGACTGTCAACTTAAGGTCCATCCATAGGCAAGAAGAATGGATAGAGCGCACGTCACTCATCACAGCGTAAATGACTGCCCATCACCTGAGCCTGCTCTCCCTGCACTTCCACAGGCTAAGCTAATAGCTTTTTCCACGCAAGCCGGCCAGATGTCTGCACACAGCCTGCCGGAACAGCTCAGCACCTTGGTCAATTTCAGCCATGTGTTCAGGCCCTCTGACCAGAAAGTCGGGTAAAAATAGCGAATGTTTTTGAACAATTTTCATCTTTAAGTGTCATTCATAACAATTTAATCACAGAATGATTTGGGTTGGAAGGGAACTCAAAGATCTTTTAGTTCCAAGCCCTCTGCCACGGCAGGGACACTTCCCACTAGATCAGGTTGCTCAAGGCTCCATCCATCCTGGCCTTGAACATTAAATGCTTAGTGTTTACATTTAACAGCATTTACATTAAACACATTGTTACTCACACAAGTATACAAAAGACCTAATTTAATTAATAAAAGTGTAACTGACTTAGATACACAATTTCAAAGGAAAAATCATTTCAAAAACAACTGAGTAAGAAAAAATTTGCCTGCTGACCTTAATTAAAAACTCCCCTGGAAAGCCAAGTGATCCATATATACAAAGATGTTTATGACACAAATTCGGTACAGAATCAGTTATGTAAAATTTTAGAATTTGTGCCTATAAATATGTTGTGACCTTTAGAAGCAGACAAAGTGCCTTGCACAGAGCACAGAGTTAACCAAGAAAGCACAGATCATTCTAATACTAGTTTCTGGGGAATGCACCCTAGTAACGAACTAGCAGTAGCTGTGCAACTTGCATGTTACCTTCACGGCCACATTTGCCAAGCGTGTAAGCTTGTTGAAGTGAAACGTGCACAGCTGAGAGTCATAATGCAGGACAATGACATTTCCTGCTGTGCAGGAACTAGTTTGATCAGCCTGTACTGCACCACTGCGAGTCTACTGAGCTATCGGGCAAACACATTCATTTTAACAGCCACAAAGATGGGAAAAAGATTTGTAAGTAACCCCGTTTCTGTTCATCACTCATTGCTGAAGTGGCTTCAAGTTTGTAATTTTATTGCAATCACGTAAAAAGGAGCAGCACTATTGTATATTCTGAGGAGAGTGCCTAGCCTTTTCTATGAGGTTCATGATGTTCAGGACTATTTATTACTCAGCTTCTCTAAATTCAACAGTTGTTCAATATCACTGCCTTGACATTTCAGTATGCTAAAGATGCAGAGCTTGTAGGTGAAAATGGAATCTCTGTAACCAGACTTCCTAAGGACTCCAGCAAAAGAGAAGCATTTCTAAGGAACAGTAACATTGTGCATTATTGGTAGGTTTTTCTAACAGTTCAGACAAGATTTTCAAAACAGCTCTAAAGTCCGAGAGCTGTGCATAAATCTCAATAAACAATCTGCTTTAAGAATTACATTCCAGTAGCATTATATACAGTACATCACCATAGGGTTCTGAATTACTTAAATGTTTGACTACACTTAAACCAGCACTTTTGTTCAAGTGAAGACACGTTTCACAGTTTACATTCATCTCATTTGCGCAGTAGGTGAAGAGACAGTTAAATCTGATTAATGCATAGCAGCACTGTGAATACTGCATGGCACAGCGATGCTTTTAGTTTGTAGCCAGTTTCACACACTTTCCTTTGCACACTTTGGAGATGTCCAGCCATTCTTTTGTAATTCACGCTGTCCCTTTCTTTGCTGAGGCACAAAGTACGTCTGCCCAGATTTTCCTAGAAAGCACCGTCACAAACGTTGCTTTAAAAAGACAGTAGCACAAAAGTTGCTCTCCCAGTGGGGAAAAAAACATCTCTCAGGCAAACAAGCAATTTACTTAAAGTCCAAGTTCCACAAAAAAAGCATCCTTTGTAGAATCTTCTTTCTTCTGTCCCAACAAAGGATAGAAAAAGAATGAAGATACCTTCTGTCACTTCGAAATGTTTGCACATAATGCCTTTCACTCCAGAAACTTATAATTTAAATTAAAACCCACCAAACTCTCCAACCTGAACCATAAATGGAATAACAGAACAATGTAAAAAACCCCACAGATCTACATTTATTTTCAGTTCAGCCAATGAGTTGACTAAGGACAAGCACAGGAACTCACCTTGCCCTGTTTGAGCCTCTGGCACTCGCTCACGAATAACTCTGCAGGCGTCATACACTGCAGTGGATGGTTCAAATTGCATCGTCTTCACCACATTGCACTGGTGGACACAGATCTTCAAGGAAAGAGCTACCATGGTGTCAAGTCACTTGCAAGTTCCTACTGAAGTATCTGAAAAAGCGGTAATGGCATTATTGCTTAGAGTTTTCCATTTAATGTTTTAATACATTCAACTTTTCATGAAAAAGATTAAATTCATTTGGTAGACTTTTATGTATTCAAACACAATTCTACATAAAGTCTCACTAGCATCATCAAGCTAGAAACTCCCTGAAACTTGTTGCTTTGGTATGCTGGAAATTCATTTTCACAAAACGTGTGTACGCATACTTAAAGGTTGATACTTTGATGTATGTCAAAACCACACACAGGAAAAGAACACACTTATTCAATATATTTCCAATATATTTACTACAGACTGAAAAATATTTTTCTCTCACCACAGCTTTTTCTTAGACCATTTAAGTTAGCTGGTAACTAATAGCTCAGATTAACTAGTTAAATGAAGATTATAAAGTATGCAATACTGCATTGGGTTGGTTTTTTTTAAAGTCTCCACATGGATCTGCTACATGATTTTATTCTCTTGCACAGCTACCCAGAGCTTCAAGAAGGAGCCATTTCTCATTTCAGTTCTACTTCAGAAACTTCACTGAATTTGACAGCAACTTGTCTACCGAAACAGGAAGCTACAGATGCTTTCTGTTTTGTTTCATTCTGTAGATAGCCTGGGTTTTGTCTCAAGTGTTCCCTCCTTGCTGTCATAACACTCCAAACCACTCCATCATTAAAACTTTCCACAGTGATCTCCAAGAACTCCCCAGAGTTGCACAGTATACACATTTTTCTCTTAACTGGTACACAGGAAGAACTCACGAAAATGCCAGGGCCATAAGCAGCAGCCTGTCCAGTGATTCTCCAGCAAATTTAAGGAGAAACTCTACATTATTTCTTTCCTGGGTAAAATATTTCTAGAGCAAAGGAAGTTTTCATGTCAATACATGCTCAGACAAAGTTTTATTGCAGTCATTCCAGAAGTCAAGGTCCGCCTGCTCCATTTGTTTCATGCTTCAGGAGGGTTTTTTTTTAACAGAAGGTACCTCACCAGGCATTGCAAAGAGGGGTGCTAGTGACCAAAGCTGTAAGCTTCTGCCTTACAGGAATCCTCTCAGCCTTTCTGACCCTGAGAAGAATCTACAGAAAACCAACCACCACCAAGGAATGTGAGGAACCTTTGGTTCTTGGTACGCTTCACTGCTGTTCCAACAAATGGCTTGCCCAACCAGTTTCTTTAAAAAGACTTCTAAAACAGCACATAGTAATCAGTTGTCTACTGTTTGTGGATTAGTCTGCATGAAAAGCATTTTGAGGGATGACACCTGTACTGATCAAGTTCAGGGCTGCCCCAGTTAGGAAGCTTAAGTGACTTTTGTCAGGCTCATGAAGCGAGTGCTTATCAGTGAGGGATCCAACTCTGCACTGCTTGAAAAGTTCAAGTAACACACAGAACGTGTCTCTGTCCCACAATACTTTGCTCAGGTTGAGTAGCATAATAAGACGACAATTACAGAAATTTTACAAAAGATTCCCCAAGAAATTAAATTGTACCTGAGAACTCAGCTCTGCTCTAGCGGGAGGGTGGCACTGATGTTACAACTGCCTTACCAGCTGCTGTACAACAAGACAGAGTAAGGCAAGGGGGAGCTCGAGAAGCATTTTATGGGGACTCTCAAGAGACACATAACCCAGAGTAAAAGGCTGCGTCTCCAAACACTGATGAAGACAGAAGTCCGCATCATCTAATTCCAAACGGAATCAGCTACCATCAAGCTAAAAGCATACAACAATAAAACACCGGAAGAACGGCTTACCAGATGCATGGGAGAAGTGCAATTTAGAGGGGAGACTGGTTAGTGAGCACTGACCTCTCTGATCATTCACACAGCCACCTGGCTTCTCTTGCACCATTCCCACCCTTCCGCTGACAGCTCAAGAAGCCATGACCTTACCTGTGTCTTTTGAACTACACTACTAAGCAAACACAGAAAGCAAAATCCCAGCTTAACATTCTCTCTGCCTAATGCTATGAGAATATGAACACTTCTTTGCCTTCCATTTCAAGCCCTTGCCAACAGAGCGTCTGAAGTAAAACACAATCCAAAAGGATCTGCAGTTCTAAACCAGGCAAATGCAGAACAGCTAACCCTGACACTGTCAAATATGCACTATGCCCACTCAGCTAAAGGACAGTTGCCACTGCCAGTGCTATGGTTCAAAGCAAAGCTTTAGTAGAGGTTTGTCTCCCTGGAGATATTTCTTAACTGGTTCATTCAGGCTTGAGCAAGCACAAATCTAGGTCATGAGACTGTCACAGTCTAAAAGCCTACATGCTAGTATAGGAAAAGGACATATTTTTATACTAGATTAACTCTGTAAGAAAATCCAGTGGGACAAAATTTCACTATCCTTTTCAGTACTCCCACAACCTCGCTGCCGGTGCAGGGGTAGGCATGTAGATGTGGTGCTTAGTGACATGATTTAGGTGGGGACTTGGCAGTGCTACGCCAGCAGCTGGACTTGAGAATCTTAAAGGTCTTTCCAGCCTAAATGATTCTATGATTCTAGGGCACCACACATTTCCTGCTCACGATGGCTGACCATCTAACTCTGTTGCAACTCATCAAACACTTGTTTAGTGGAATGCTGCCTTGTAAGGCTTCCTTAAGCAAAAAGCACTCAAAAACACAAACCCAATTGTACTGAGAGCTACATATGATATTTTCAAAATCATGAATGCGTCATCCTTCAAAATATAGGATAATGGAACAATAAGGTAAGCATGTAGGCAAGTGACTGCACAGGTATGGAGGGTAACTACATATATTTTACTACCAACTCACACTGGCACTTAAACTAGTTGGTCCTTGCTGTTGGCATGTTATGCAATTATCATATAAAAGGGTGCAGTGCTCCTCTCCAAGGAAGACTGCCCTCTCTTCAGTGCTCCACTGCTGTCGGTCTGTAACTCATTCATACCATGAACGCTCTTAAAGCGTTTAAGGGGTTCTATTAACACACTTTCTCAGCACACTAGGCTGATTCTCCACCAGAACACTGCATAGGAGCTGAATCATACAATCATAGAATAGTTTCAGCTGGAAGAGACCTTGAAGATCATCGAGTCCAGCCTTTGTCCCAGCCCTATCAACCCACTAAACTATGTCCCCCAATGCAACATCTAGTTGTCTCTTAAACGGGTGACTCAACCCCCTCCCTGGGCAGCCTGTTCCAACGGCTGACAACCCTTTCAGTAAAAAATTCTTCCTAATATCTAGCCTGAACCTCCCCTGACCACCTGTGGGTTGTACACCCAAAACTTAGGTCCATACATCATAGTGAGGCCTTCATCCTCAACTATTTGCTGGACAAGTCAACTGCTTTTTCAGTCAAAAGGCGCATTTGCAAACTAACCTTCTTCAATGTATCTTCAAAAGGAAGTGTGAGTTCCAAGGGACTACAGGAGGAATGCTATCATTTCAAACAAGAGCAACAGCTTTTAGGTAACAGAAGCAAGGAGCTTGACTGGAAGTAGTTGTAACATAGAACTCACAGGAGCCTCCAGAAAAGACAGTCAAAGACAGAAGTCCTTGAAGAGACCTAAGTTTTTGTTCTTATTTTGCAAGAACACTGTAGGAGAAAGCTGAAAACAGCAACCATGAGTTTCTGTAGAAACCAGAAGTGAATCAACATCCTTTTACTCGATTCCTCTCCAAACAAGGTGTTTCAGTCACAGAGATGAGCCCTTATTAAGAGAGTCCTTGGGGGGACGGTAACAAAGACTCTCACAGATTCTAGGACTATAATTAAAACAGTATCTGAGATACAGAAGACAGTAGTTTGGTTTTGCTAGGTTGATATTTTCCTTTGTTTGGGGCCTTTTCGGTGCTGGTTGTTTGGGTTTGTTTGGGGTTCTTTGAGGGGTTTATTGCTACCGGAGGGTTTTATTTTATTTTTTTAAATGAAAGAGAACTGCTTGTAAGGTTAATTTAGGCCCACCACAAGAGCTGCAACTTGCTTACAGGGTGATATATACTTAGACAGCTTCAAATATATTTTCTAATTTCTGGTAATTTAAGAGCATGTAAGTAAATTATAGGATAAGAAGTGTGAGGACTTAAACTGATATGAAAATGATTTTCCAAAGGAGCAGAACTGAGTATTTGAAGCATTTTACCCACAGATTCTAAATCATTCTAACAATAACAGTAGGTTGAACAACTAAGTGGGCTGTTAAATCTTACTAAACTGCTTTCTTTATTCTTTATGGAAGCTGAATTACTGAATAAAATAAAATCCACTTAGCTACTGAAATAAATACCTACTGGTAATTTCCATCAGTGTTATCATCCAGAATTAGGTGGGATAGGTAGACAAGTCTTCAGAAACAACTCTGCTACACAGAACAATGAAATTAGTGAGGTTCAAGTAAAATGATTTTTTGCTAGTCCTTCACAAATTCCTCATGTGGAATAGTCCTCTGCTCCCACTGCAGTTAAGTCCACTGGTGGACTTAACAGGTACTGAATTGCTTTCAGTTGTTTTTGATTGATTTATCCTAGCAATCAGTTAATACAGTCATTTAAAAGAGCTCACTAACAAAGGAAATGAGGCAGAAGAAAAGTAAACAGTTAACAAATGTTATTTGAACGAATGCAACTGTAGGCTAGTAAGTCAGCATTCCACCTAGTTAATTAAGCACAGAAGAACTCAAAGGAGGACTACACAGAACTGACAGCCGTGCTGACAACCAAATCATCATCTCTTCGATGAACCTCGTCAGCTTATCCAGCATCTTCACAAACAGAGGATGAAGCAAATGGATTCCTGACCTGGAAAACCGTTATTTCTTGCAGGCCCATTTTGGAAAGCGGGATGGTTAGTGAAGAGCTCAGTTAGAGACTGGCTGTCATTTCTGTTGAGCAAAGCATGGCAAAGCAGGTCCCAGGCAGAAAGTAACAGCTAGTCTTGAGACAACTAAGATGTTCTCTGTTCAAAACCACAGCGTGCTAAAATTCA